TATTGCTCTGTGCTGTAGTGGGTTGCTATGTCGTGCACCACACTCGTGTCCTGCAGTGATCTGTGCTGTACAGTATTGCTCTGTGCTGTAGTGGGCTGCTATATCGTGCACCACACTGGTGTCCTGCAGTGATATGTGCTGTACAGTATTGCTCTGTGCTGTAGTGGGCTGCTATATCGTGCACCACACTCGTGTCCTGCAGTGATCTGTGCTGTACAGTATTGCTCTGTGCTGCGGTGTGCTGTGCTGTAGTGGGCTGCTTTATCGTGCACCACACTCGTGTCCTGCAGTGATCTGTGCTGTACAGTATTGCTATTTGCTGTGCTGTAGTGGGCTGCTATATCGTGCACCACACTCATGTCCTGCAGTGATCTGTGCCTTAGGAAGATGATTCATTGGAGTGTTTGCTTTATTTGTTTCCAGTCACAAGTCTGGGATTTTAGTTCACTGACAAAGCAGCAGTCAAGCTCTTAACCTGTGTTAAGGGCTGGAAACGAACAGCTCAGCTTCATCTCAAGTCGATGAATGGCTTGATTGTGCAGCCGAGGGCTCAGCGGATACGCAAACCGTCTGTCTGAAAGGAACTAAATCGCTTCAGTCTTGAGCAGGGGTGGCTAATTCTGATCCTGTAGGTGGCGCGGTCTCCCTTCGGGCTTTCATTCCATTGCTCTTCTTAACAAGCTCAGTCTGCTCGTTAGTGGCTTCATTGGACGAAATGAGCAGCTTCTCTCAGCTTTTCAGGTGCTGCTGCTCGGACAGCACACGGCGCCCCCTGCAGGACCAGGATCGCCCGCTCCTGGTCTGGCACAGAGTAAATCAAGGAGGCGTGTGAAATGTCAAGGGGTACAGGTGGGCTGTGGGCTTCGGGGGTTGAGCACCGTTCTGTCCGGTGGCGGGGGCGGCAGAGAGAAACTCCATAGCAAACGAAGGGGAAGGAATGATTTTTAACCCCCCACCACCACCACCACCACCACCACCACACATTCCGGGGGCTCGCTGAGCCGCTGTTGGTGGGAAACCAGGAGCTGGGGATCGGCGGGCTCCGGTTTCTGCAGGAGCGACGCGCGGTCCGGTAACGCCAACGCGCCAGGCCTGGCAGCGGCGCCGCGGCGGAGTGTGTGTGTGTGTGTGAGCGAGAGTGTGTGTGGAGGTAATGGCTCGTACCAGACAGCTGAATCAGATTAC